ATTGGTTCGAACCCCATCGTATCCAAACAAAAAAATTAAAAATAATTGCTTTTCATTGTCAATTTGGAAATATATATTTTTAAGCGTCTACTCAATTCCCTTTTGCTCATGTTTAGAATTAACAGTTAAGTCAGCCATCTCTTTTGCAAAAAATCACATGGGACTTGGTCCGCGACTGGCTGTTTATATAGTAATTATGAGCAATCTCACAAGCACCAAGAAAATTAAAATTAAGCGGAGTACAATCACTTGAAGTTTCTTTACAAAAATGGTAGTCTTCCCCAGTATGTATTTTGGCTTCACAGTGAAACCCATTTGGGGGCCATAATTCAATTTATCCATTTTACTCCCTACCACTCTCAGCATAGAATAATCACAAAGAGTAGATTCTGTATGACTTTAAAAAACTCAAGGTAGAGACTGATCCAGTCCTGGAGACCTTTTCTATACGATACAAGATTTTCAGCTAGTTTAATTGCGGTCAAGGATAGCCTCAAATATGGTCATTTGAAAAAAGGATATTCTTAAACATGGTCAAGGATACCCTTAAATATTGTTATTTAAAAGAAAAAGGAAACTCTTAAACATGGTCAAGGATACCCTTTATTTATTTTTATTTTTTAAAATAAGAATACCCTTAAATATGGTCATTTGAAAAAGGATACTCTTAAATATGTTCAAGGATATCCTTAAATATAGTCCGATCATTTGAAAAAAGGATACTTTTAAATATGGTCGGACAACGCCTACAAAGGGGCAGGAGTTTTATTTTTAAATTTAAAAATACAAACCAAAGTAGATTAGAAATCCATCCTGATCAGCCTTGGTTTCGTTTACAAATGCTTCATAATATGACCAAGACTGGAAGGGATAGAGAATGACAGGCTTGCCTTTTATGATTGAAATGTCGTGTTTTTACAAATAGAATACATCCCAGGCGTAGAGTGCGTCTCACGGCCCACTCACAGCCTAAATTACATACATTTATGATATTTATGGTATCTTCTTATTCGTACGGGAGTCTGTTACGTTCAGCGAATACATTTACCAACATTTTTCACTCCCGTACGAATAACTGCGATTGTTATTCGTACGGAATTCGGGTTTTATCGAATATTTATTAACATTTTTTACTCCCGTACGAATAACCGCGATTGTTATTCGTACGGGAGTCGCGGTTCAGCGAATATTTATCAACATTTTTCACTCCCGTACGAATTATTTGCAATTGCTATAGGTACGGGAGTCTGTTCAGCAAATATTTACCAACAATATTCGCTGAACTCCGACTCCCGTAGGAATAACAATCGCGAATACTTCCAACGAGAGTGACGGGAGCGAATAATGCTGGTAAATATTCGCTGAAAAGACTCCCGTACGAATAAGAATTGAAAAATTAAACGAGCCTTACCTGTAAGGTGAAGTTTGATTGTGATTCTACCAAATCCAGGGTGACGCGCTGAGGGTTAACATGAGATGCACACGTGCTGCCGTGGATGCTCAGAGTTTTAAATGTTGTGGACACGATATAGAGAAAAAACGGGTAAAAAGCACGGGTGGGAAAGCAGAATAACTGTAAGGGAGGGCATGTTAACCCTCAGCGCGTCACCCTGGATTTGGTAGAATCACAATCAAACTTCACCTTACAGGTAAGGCTCGTTTAATTTTTCAATTCTACCAAATCACGGTGACGTCACTTCCGGTTAACATGAG